ATACCCGCCATCAATAGAATTTTAAAATTTTATAAACCTTTAAATATTTCTTAAATAAAAATGTTAAAACTGTCCTAACATTTTGAAAATTTTTTCAGTAATGAATGGCTGAGGTATATTTAGGATTGATTTCACATGTAGGAAATCTACCACATACTGTTAATGTGCAGTTGCAATCAGAAGAATCTTAACAAAGATTCACAAAATTATGCTGCAGATGTGTTAATCTTTACAGTTAAAAATTGACAATAAATTTTATGGCGCCATTGCTAAAACTATATTAAAGTGTTCAAATATTTTAAAAATACCGATAAACATTGATGTCTTGTTTGAGGATATTGTAATGCTCTCTATTTTTGATTTACAATGTAAAAAATATATTTATTTTATGCGAATGTATAAATAAAAAAATATGGAAAATTAAATATAATGTTAATTATATTTTATTTGAGATTTAAATAATGGAACTAAACGTTTACCGTCGTTATTGAGATATTTATAAAATTCCTGGCATGACATATTATAAATTTGTTTAACCATTAGCTCGGCCTCTAATATTGTTAAAGCATCCGTTTTCTAGGCAGTCCTCATCAGGCTAAAAATGTTCTCGGATGAGGCATTGGAATGAGGTAAGGAGAAGACATACTCGCATATTTTTCCCAAGCATTTCTCCTCTGCTTTTCGACCATCTAACTTTATTTTGGCGAATCATAAAAAATAGAGAGAATTACAATCTCCTCAAACAAGAAATGAATGTCTTTCGGTATTTTTAATATATTTATTAATTATAAAAACCATCAATTGATGGTTTCTGTTCCAAGGTCATAATATTTATACATTTGTAAATAGAGTGATTAAAATCAAATTTTGATTTTAAATATTCTAAAATTATCTTAATAAAAATATCTGCTTCATTTAAAAATGTATTAATTAGAGTATTATTTGAACATTTTAATATAATATTTTTAGCAATAGCGCCATAAAATTTATTATCAATTTTTAATTGTAGAGATGAACAGAGCTGTAGCATGATTTTATGAATCTTTTTTATAAAGAATATTCTAATTGCAACTGAATATTAACTGCATGAAGTAGATTTCCTACATGTGAAACGAATCCCAAATATGCTACTGCTTTTTTCAAAATTTTAGGACAGTTTTTAAAATCCTTATTTAAGAAAAGTATTTTTTTAAGGGTTTGTAAAATTTTAAAATTCTATCAATGGCAGGTATTAATGACAATCACCTGATAGGTATATATTGCAACACCTCACACCATTTCATCACAATTATATCGACATCCACAGATAGTACATTTATTGCCTTCTTGCAAGAATTATGTAGTATATGACATATACAGCCAATTGGTATAAATTCATTATTGTGCTGCCTCAATTCGGTAACTTTAGTTTTTGCCAATATTTACAGAGGCATTATCAGCGCATAAAGCTGACATTCAAATCATTGATAAATCTGAATCAGCTATATTTACCATTATGTGGCTAGCTACATCGTTGGATTTTTCATAATCCGAGGAAAAATTTTTAACAGTTTTATGGAAATGTTCATATTCTTGTTGGAATAGCGAAGGATCAAGGGAAATGTTTTAATATTTCCCTTATTAGATGCATCTGTTAGAATTGAATATGGATGCCCATCTTTCAAATGGTCTAGAATTGACCTCTAGGATTCAGGTACTAAAACACTTGTGATAGCCTTGCTCATTTTTGTTCTGCCACAAATAAGGTTTGCACTTATATTGGAGTCGATCATGAGAAAAAAATATGACCCACATTGTGATGATATAGCTCTGTGAATGTTGAACTACATGATAGATGATGTAGTTGCATCTGTATTATTTATTAATTGAGAATATTTTTGTATTGCAATCGATGTTGATATACTCCCCTATACTGACTTATATGAATGAAATGATGTTGATTTATTATTGGATAAAAATAAAACAGGATAGAAAGAAATTTACAAACTAAACATGTTTTTCGAAAAAATATTTAAAATTTATTTTAAAAATATAAAAATAATCAATTACTATCTCTCAAAATTATTATTTATATATTAAAAACGTTAAAATACTTTTTAAAAAATTGCGGGAGATTTCCAATTGCGGTAGTTTTGCGGGTGAGAGATTTCTGCGTGTAAACTAAAAAATTGCGGGAGTCTCCCGCTGATGGGGGGAGACATGGCAACCCTGGTCAGGAAAGATGAGGAGGAGAAAATACCCGGGAGGAATGGTGAATGAATGAAAGGCAGAGATATATAGATGTGGATAAGAAGAATTCCTTGTTTTGGAGTGAAAGTGAAGAGAGGGCGAACGACGAAATGTTTGAGGGAAGTCCGAGTTATGAATAAGGAGAGGACGATACAAGAGGGAAGAAATGAGGTTGTGAAACCACTGAAATGTGTTCAAATTCTATAGAACAGAGAAATGCAAGAGTTCGAGAGGGCCTAGTGAGGGAATTAAATGTGTACAAAAAGAGAGGTGGAAAGGTTAGTGAAGGAATATCGAGAAATTTTTGTAGAAGAACTGGGTTGTTTAAAAGATTATGAAGTGGAGATTCGGATGAAAGATAGGTGTGTCCCAATGTAGTGCTCTGTGGGGCGAGTGCCTTTTGAGTGGAGACAGGAGGTTGAATGCGAGTTAGATCACTGGATGAAGAAGGGCATATTATGTCCAGTTGAATAAAGCGATTGGGCGACGCCGTTGATGTCGATGAAGTATACTGCGCAAAGCTCCGTTTGGCCTACGATTTCTGGGTTACGCTAAACCCATTGGTGGGGGAAGTCAAATATCCCTTGCCATGAATTTAAGATATATTGGCCTGTAGTAGATTGAGTGCCAATATACAATTGCGAGTGAAGTCGGATGCAAAAGCTAATGACTATCACTACGCTAAAGGATATACATGCATTTTGTATGTTACCTTTAGGATTTAGAGTTTCGGCGCCGATTTCCAACGAACAATGGCAGCTCTTTTCTAGGAGAGGAGGATTATATTACTTTGAATAGGGGACGAACTGTTTAGAAGTATTGTAGAAAAATGATTGCGGGCAAGTGGTGAAAAAAGTGTGCTAGGAGTGACGGAAGTAGTGTTTTGGGACATATATTACTGGAGAAGAGGTTAGACAGTTGAATAAAAACATGGTTGAAATTGCAAGCATGTTTAAGCCAAAGTGCAAATCCGAAGTGCAGTCGTTTATTGGAATGGTTTATTAATATCAAGATTTGTGGAGGAAATAGTCGCGCCTTTTTATAAATTGTTAAGGAAAGAGAAAAATTTGAGTGCTTTGAGGAATTGAAATGGAGGATTGGAAGAGAACTAAGGAGATTGAGGAATTGGCGAGACGATGCTTAAAATCGGAGAAGGATATAAGGTGACATGGTCGAAAACGACGGAGCCATGGGAGAGGATATATGTCTATTTTTATAAATATGAGAGAGAGTATTTTTTGGTAGTGGATGCATTCTCGAAATGGGTGAAGTCTGATGTTGCAGGAGGTTTAACAATGCGGGTCATGGTCAAGAAGTTAAAGAATTTGTGGGCCAGTTTGAAATGTCTAAGGTGACTGAGACTTGGTATTTAATAGTGGGGAATTCTGAAAGTTTTGCAAAGAGAATGGGGTCAGACATATTTTAGGTGCTCTATATCATCGATCTCTAATGGGCAGGCTGAACGAATAATAGAATTGGAGAAGAATTGGCTTGAAAGACTAATTATGGAAAAAGAGAGATATGGATGTCTGTTGTGTATTATAATAATAGTAGAAAAGGAGAAGAAATTCTCCGTTAGGGAAATCTTTGGGACGCAGAACTAGAATAGATTGCATGCTTTGAAGCCGAAGATAGATAGTTCGAGAAGGGAACACAAAGAGAATGGTAAAATGAAGTTTATCATGGGACATAAGGTGTGGGCAAGAGTGTATGGTGGAAAGATAAGTGGCTTTCTGGAATAGTAAATGACAATATTGGTAGAACATTGAGTTGAGTGTGATACCAAGATGGGAAGGTGGGAGTACGGCATAAAAATCAAGAGCCTAGAGAATTTGACCCGGGGCAACATTGATGTCGGGGCCGGAGGTCAGCAGAATAGTTATAAGAAAATTTTTCAATGAGATCAAGGTCACGACAGATGAGCAAGCTGGTATACGAGTTTATAGTGTGCGTTATAAAAAAAGTCTGGTCCTTAGTGGTCGTGTAAAAAATGGAGGAATTGTTTTTTTTTGTGTGTAAAAAAATATATTTATATTATTAAGGAAAATTTATTTTGCAGAAGAATAGTTATTAAATTTCCCGATGGTGAAAGTAGGGTCGGTTGAAGGTATAATGTAGGTTGGAATGGGATGAAGAGGATATAAATATTGAAAAGAGTAGAGGATTAAATAATCTTGAATACAAAAATATAATGGATAATGAAGGATACTGATAATGAGAGGGATGTTCATTACAAGGGTAGAGTGTGCTTGGTATAGAAGAGCGTTGGGAAGAGAAGGTGCGTAGGAATGAATGAGATTAATCTTGGTAGGAATGTACTTAGAATTTATTCATATTAGAGATAAAAAAATTGATATAAATCATTTTTTTGATATTATATATAAAAAAAATTATGCCCTCCCCCTCAATCAAATATTTCAACAGTACAATGCTTCTAACAGTGCGTTAAGCTAAAAAGGAATACCTCGACGGAGCTTACATCCTCATCATCAAAACGCTATGATAAAATTTGATAAACATATGTTGCGAAGCTTTAAAAAAACTCTGCATGATTATAAATAATAGTAAATTCGATAAAAAGGTTATTGAATTTTCTTAAATATTATATAAAATAATTATATCTATTTTAACTATATCTTATTAGTTTTTAAAACCAAATCAGCTCGTATAACGCTACGCTAAATAACCAACGCTTAAAGATAACTAGTTTACTATGAATGCAGCCAGTTCATTTTTTTATAGCTTACAATCTTAAAAGTCACTTAATGTCATTTTCTAAAGTTTAATTATCGTCAATATATTTAAAATGGTGAAAATTACACCTGAATTAATTAATGAATCTCCTCAATATTTTAACCCGCTTAAAGATAGAGAAATGGATTTGAGAGGTAAATTATTTAAATTAAATCTATATAATTTTATTTACTTAAAGGATTAAAAATATCTGTTATAGAAAATTTGGGGGCTACCTATGTAAGATTTTTTGATATGCTCCTTGTATTATTATATATAAGAAGACGATTCTATATTATATTTTTTAATAAAAATTATAGTTGAATTCATCCAAAATAATGAATTGTTAAATAAATATGATATCTTAATCATATTATAATTATAATAATCACACAATTGTTTTCTTGAGTGAAAACCTTTAAATTTTATATTTATTCTTTTTAATCTAAGAAATTCCATTATAATTAACTGATCTAAAGTCATCAATAAATATTAAAAATAATAAATTCAATGGCCACCTTACACAAATAAATACAGGATACTTTAATAAATGGGATAATTTCAAATATTGCATAGTATAATTCATACAAAAATCATTTATTTATACAACCATGATCATTCATAAGGCAGGGTATAAATTTAATTTATAACTTAAACCATAATTTTGTACACTTTACTTTTCCCTGGTGACTTTTATTAATTTTCCTAACTCTAACATTTTTTCATATTTATTTTATTCAAATTTTTTAAAATAGATAAATATTACAAAACTTGAAAAACCTTTATATATTTTTAAAACCTTAGCACAACAAGAATCTTTATAATTTTAAGCACTGGCTCAGCCAAATCAAAATCTTTATAAAACTGTTTGTCTCTTGAATCAAACTGGACCCTTTATATATAATGGTTCTTTGGGTCCCTGTTTTACACAAATATGTTTTGAAGGTTCAGTATGGATATTTTATTTTTGTCATAAAACATATTTTTCTCCATTATTTTAATTATATTACCAGTTATGTATAATTATAATTATCTCTATTTATGATTTTTAATATGAAAATATAAATTATAATTAGTATAAGATGTCTTTTTTTAAAAAATTTATTCTAAATTTATTAGCTTATTATATTATTTTATATTAACCCTCTTTTGTGTGACATATCAATATATGATATAATTTTTGAAAAAAAACTTAATTTTGACTTTAAATGATCCTTAATATACTAAAAATAATTTTTTTAAATCTGTGTATTTAAATACACAATGTGTGTAAAAATATCATATTTTTCAATTTCAAACCTATAAAATATATACATAATTTTATTATTCTATAAATAATGTAATAAAACAAATTTATACTAATTTTCATGAAATAATTTTAAACAATTGTTTTTTATAGTAAAACATAATGATATACCATATTTGGTACAAATCATTTTCGTAACCAATTTATTTTTCTTTATATTTGGTGTCAATTGATATTCTTTTTTTTTATGATAGTGTTCATATTTTTGTTACATTTACAGAGTTTCTGCTATTGAAATTTTAAATGTTAATAATGGCAACTGTTCTTTTATCGATACCTTTAAAGCTACAAAATCTTGCCATACATTAACCAAGATTTATGAGCATCATATCAAGTATATGAAATACTATACAGTGATACCATTTACATGATTTTATGTGAATTTGATATAAAGTAATCAATAAATTGATTAAATCTACACCTCCCTATTTATATTGTAAACTTTTATAGCTGCTGGACATGGAATTTTAATTTGCCATCGTTCCTTTAAATCAAACCATTCACAATCTCCAACAGATCATTACCTATATGTACTTAGAATAATTACAGACTTACTATCATGCAATTTAGTACCATATAATTCTACACTATTTACTGATGACTTCTTTTTGATAAAAGATCCACGCTCCATCTTTTAGAATTTTTTTTCAGTTCGAAATTGGCAATTATAAATTCTCTTAGCTCTCACTGTAGCAATACTCCCTTTTGGATGAGTAATACCTCAAGTTCTATACCACAGGACCAATTATCAAAACACAATTTAAAATTGGAATGTAGTGGTACTAATTAGAGATCTGCAAAAGTAGCCCAGCCCGAAATTTTTTAAGAAAATTTGGGCTGGGTCTTGTCTGACCTTAGAAATTTTTTAAAATATATCTAAATTTTTCAATTTTATGTTGAATTTTTTATGTAAAATAAAAATATGTGATTTTATTTATAGAAAGTAGATGCCATATAACATATATCGTTTATTTTGAGTATAAAAATTAATTTCTATATTTAAATAAATTCGGACCAGGCCAGCAAAATTTTTTAAATCATATTTTGAGTTTGGGCCAGGCAAAATTTTATAAAATAAATTTTGGGCTGGGTTTGTAAAATTAGGCCTGATGCAGATCACTAGTACTAATAGTTGAAATACCACATTTCCGCTAGAATCAACATCTGCTGATCTTGAATCAAGAATTTCCTCATCTGATAAACTAAGGTTAGAATCATAATTATCTTCTGGAATACAGTACATTTTGACTATAGATAGCAAATAAATAACATTTAATAATATAAAAAAAATAATCAAAAAGGATCAAATTCATATTGCATTTGTGTGCATTATGTATCTGGGTACATGTACCTTAAAACTTAAATTTTAAACACTATTAATGAATATAGCAATATATTTATGTATAAAACATTTCTCTTACCTTTTAATAGGATTCTTAACTTCCTGTTCCTTAAAAATTTGTACAAGAGAAATGATATGATATATAAAATAAAAAAGTAACTATTCAAAAGTTATAAACTATTATTTAGAATTTTTATATTGATAGCTGTCTTTCATTTTTGACAAAATTAACTATAGAAATAAATAAAATCTATGTGTATCTATTATACGTCATGTGTATTAAACTCTAAAAAAATTTATATTAAAATTTACACAATAAATTTAAAATGATTGCAGATGAATTGGAAATTAATTTTTGATTTTTATGAATATGATGAATAATACTAGCTAATAACCCGTCAAGAATGACGGGGTTGAGAGGTAATTAGTTAGTTTTTCTCCCTACTTTTATGATAGTTGCTACCTGTTATTTGAAAATAATATCTTTTTATTCTTTATAACCCCCTCCCCTTTAGGCCAGGTCCCCAGGTCTGCAAAAAATTTTGTTTTAGATCAATATCTGATCCATAGTGGATAATAGAATTCCCAACCAAGCTGATAATAATTTTGAAAAATTTTCCATAAGTCCACTCCAATATAATTCATAAAAATATTATCCAAGCCTAGCTCCACCCATAATAATTTTAAAAATTTTTTTCTCAAACCTGGCCAATGCGTAATAATTTTTAAATTTTTTTCTCAAGCCTGGAGATAGATAAATCTCTAAAAACCATATTCATTTTTTATTCTTTTTAATCCCGCTCAATCCTACTTCAGACCAAGACCAACTCATTAGGACTAATAGTGAATATTATTTTTGAGTAAAAATATATTTAAATTAGCTCATACCTGAGACCCATATAAATATTATGTCTAATATCTAATATAGAAAAAATTCTCAACAGGTTCATGCTCATAATGTTGGGAAAATTTTCTCAAGCCTGCCAAAGACCATAATAATTTTGTTAATTGAGAACTGAAATAAAATATATAAAAGTCATAATTCATTTAAAAATAAAATCAGAATATGAAAGTTGCAAGGGCTTGGTTTTTTTAATCAGGTCTGGCGATTTCTGCAAAAAAAAATTTCAGGCCAATGTCTACCCCATATTTAAAATTAAAAAATTTCCAAGCATCTCAATTTTAAATTTTATTCAATATGATTTCTATCACAAATCTTTATTCTAAATATAAAATTAAATTTAAGACATTTTTATTAAATTACAATAAAAATAAATGGCAAAATTTTATGAAAGTTGCATGGGACTTGGTTTTTTGATCAGGCCTGGCTATGTTTGCAAAAAAAAATTTTCAAGCCAATGTATAACCCATATTTAAAATTCAAAAATCTTAAAGCATCTCTATTTTAAATTTTATCTAATATGATTTCTATCACAAATTTAAATTTTGATTTCTAATACATGCTCACGGTATATATTGCAACTACCTCTTTTTCTCCTAAATTTTAATATTTATATAAAATTTATTAATAATGTATATTTAGTACCATAAACAAAAACTAAATAATTACCCTTCAACCCCTTAGCTAGTATGATAATAAACGGCAGAATTTTAAAAATATCAGCTATTAATTAATTTCAAGTTGGTACACGCTTAAAACATACGACTTTGAAACGGGAGGCTTGTGTTCGACTCTCGTAGAGAGCAAAAAAATAACATTACACTATATAGTCTCCTTAAATTTTAAATAGATTAGGAAGATACGAAAACGATCATGTTTTGATTATGGAGATTATATATATTAGATAATTTGTTAATTATTTTATATATATTTTTATGATTTCTAATAGTATTCTTAAATTTGGATACCTTATTTGCTTTATTTTGATATATTCCTACATAGATATTTTATTATGAGTTTAGACTATATTAAAGGTAGATTATTATTTAAAAAATATATATACATATAAAATCCAAATAAGGTAAATTTTATTATAATGAAAATATATTTTTAAAATAATATATAAAAATCTTTATAATATAGGTTTTATGGTGTCAGCAAATCATTATTTTGAAATTTTAATTAAAATATATAACAATAAAATGTAAAACAATTTTTTAAAAAATATATAAAATACAAAATAGGTAAAATTTTATTTATTGAAAATATAATATATTTTTATATTGGATTATTGACTAAATTTCACTTCTTTTCAAAATTCTTTACTATCCTCTCAAAGTCAGTGAGAGTAGGTGCTGGCATATGAACGCTTATTAAAGTTTGTCATATATCTAGGAATGTGGTCCTAATATTTTTTTGGATTGCTGAAATCCCCATTGAAGGAATAGGCCAAGTTAGGATAGTTACAGCCAGTGGCTAAATTCATAGATAAAAATTTATTTAAATAATAAAGTACTTTATTATTATCTAATACAAACCATGAATTTTTTTTTCAATAATTATAGGATACTTAATAAAATTTGTGGCTGTTATGTATAAAGCTGATTGTACATGTTTTAGTATATAATAAAAAGTTTCCTATATAAAATAGAATTAAAGATAAAACGGAAAAATTAAATACTTTGGTCATTCTCATATAATTAAAAAATTTCGCCTTAAGAGCTTAAGAAAGGTGGTGTAAAATTCACCCTCTTTTCTTTTGCTAATATTAAGATTGTTTTATCTACTCCCCTTCAAGATTATTTTGTATAAAAACAATACTTTGTCGTGCATTAATAAAATCGCTTTGCACTATGAATAAAAATAGCCTCGATCGATCCAGTTGACGCAGCGATATCTTCACTATAAGGTAAATAAATATGGTTTTGATTCAGAAACTTTGAATAAAGCCCTGCAAATTTTACCCCGAGCTTAACCCGGATTTTTATTTTACGCCCTAGTCTGATTTTTTTTAAATTAAAAAATATAAATTGGACGTATTAAGTTAAAATCACTAATTGATTTGTACTTATCACAGATAAATTCGATTTTTTTTTAAAACAAAGGAAAAACATTTTTTAAGCCCGAACCAATTATTTTCAAACATTTGGCAGGGATGTATCATCTGAGAAATTTCCCCAATTTATATTTTTTTGATAAAATAATCAGGATCTGTGTCATATATTGGAAAAATATATTTTCTTGGTTCATATCTCATAATTATGTGTTGTTTTTATATGTAGGTTCAATTTCGATAAATAGTTCACTCTAGTAATGATCGGAGGGTAATTTTTTGAAATATGGATAAGAGTATTAAAGGTTTAAGAGATATAGGATAGGGTCAGCGTCTATAAGAGCGGGAGGGGTAGGAACAGTTTGCATCCTATTTTTTTGATGGGGTAGGCTGCTTTAATGGGGGTAGAAATTTTTTGGGGGGTTGTCTATTAAATTTTGAGATGAAATAGGACAAAATTTATTGCTGTAAAAATTAATACTTTTATTATAGAATTATTATAATACAATTATCGACCAAATCTATATATAGCAAACAATCATACACATTGTTTTCCAAATAAAACTTTCTGCTATCCTTTTAAATTACATTTAAAAGGATTAGATATATCAGCAAGCTCATAATGTCATAATAATTAATTCATTGTAAATAATGGAGATTTTGATTGAATTTATTATCTAAAAAATAAATTCTTTATAATCAAAAAATTAGTTGGTAGAGATAGATTAATTTAAGTTATCTTTATAAATTCTTCAAAATAAAAATAAAGAGACACCGCCGCCGAAGGTGGCGGGGATTTTTTAGGGGAGTAGGCAGAAGTTTTTGAAGGGGGTTTGCATCCAATGAAAATCCTGTCATGTAGACGCTGGATAGGGTAGACCAACTTCCTCTTCTAATTTCAACAACTAATAATTTAAATTTCTGAAGAAATAATTTAATGAACTATATTGATATTGCAACAACCATTTTTATGTTAAATTGTCCATCTTCTATAATGCAACGCAGTGGCGTAGCTACGGGGGTGGTTTTCGGGTTTGGACCCCTCCTAGAGCAAATTTTTTAAATTATACTCAAAAGACTTAAAATTGACTTTATATCAAATAAATACCATTAATATTTATATTTTTTGGTTTTGATGTTTGTGAAAGGATAATATATTACTATTGAAATTATTCTGGGTAGTATTATTATAAAGTCATTGAGAATAATCTACTAAATTATAATAACATATTATTGATGCATTTAAAAAATATATTTATTATATATTATCGAAGATATGGTTAGGCCCGTTAAAGGGGGTCTGGGGGCGAAGCCCCCCCCCCAGGATTTTATATGTATGGACCCCCTCTAAGGAAAATTTCTAGCTACGCCACTGATGCAACGTGTATATTTGTAAGAAATCATTTCAATCTTTAAAACCCTCTCATGATGTTTACTCAATAAAATTTGTTAAACAGCTAATATGAAAGGATTAAAGATATAGTAACTAAAATATAAAAATTTGACATTTATTATGATGATGGGTATAAGAGTGGAAATAAATTTTATTATAGACATAATTGAAATAGGGGCCAATATGCATACGGACTAATATATATATATCTAGTGAATTTATTAAAGAATTGAAGAAATAGGAAACATAATAATTGAATATTGTTTAAATAATATATTAAGTCTATTTTTAAAACATGGAAAAAATTCAATATTGACCTGTAAAATAATTTTTTAAAGGAAATTTCTCGTTGTTTCCTTACATTTCCCTCAATTATAGTTTCCCTGGAAATTTAAATCTCTAGTTCTACCAAAGAATCGAAATAATTCATAAAACTTAAACCTTTAATTTTTTTCTCGAAATTATAACATTAAATAATTTTAAACTTAAACTCAGACTGAAAATCCTAATTTCTTATTTTTTTATACATTATATATGTAATAATTTTTTTCTTATATAGGATCAGTTTGATTGCATGGATTTTTCAGACAATGAAATTAGAAAATTAGACGGATTTCCATTATTAAAAAGATTGAAACATTTATTATTAAATAATAATCATATTTAGTAATATATAAATGGACTATATGTATATAATTAGTTTTTAGTCGTATAAGTGAAAATCTATATAAAAATCTTCCAAATTTACAAACAGTGATAATGAGCTCAAATAATATATCAGAACTAACTGTAATGGATGTTCTTAAAAACTTAAAATATTTAAATACATTGAGGTATTTTCATTATCATTATATATATATATAATATAATCATTATTTCAGCTTGCTAGGAAATCCAGTTACAAAAATTTTGAATTATCGTTATTATACAATCTACAAACTACCACAGCTTAGACTACTTGATTTTCAAAAAATTAAACAAAAGGTATATTTTTCCTCTATATACAACTAAATCACTTCCAAATTTTAATTTAGATTATCTATAAAAAATATATCAGAGACCTATTTTTAAGCCTGGCCCGAATTTTTTAAAATATGTTACATTTAATTTTTATTGCTAATAGCGACGATTTAAAAGCAAAACTTTTTAGGCGCCCTGGTATATTTAAAAAAAATTAAAATACGGTCTAGCCCTGGATCTGCAGGTCTCTGAAAAATATATTGGGTCTATATCTTATGCTATTTATTTAAAAAAATAAAATTGGTGGCAAAATTATATTCAATTTCATATTATTTCGAATAAATTCAAAGTATATATTCAGAAAAATATTAACCCAATAAAAATTTTTTATATTAAGTAACTGACTATACAAAGGCACTAATTATAGTTTCGCTGCGAGCCCTAACACTAATTCATACTTACAAAAATTAATAGAACCTATGAAATATGCCCAAAATGGAACTTTTTTATGGGACACCTCGATAAACATTAAAAACTTCAATTATGACATCAGGAATAGGATTAAAAGTATTAATGAAATATTGGAAAAAGACTGAGGTGTCCTAGAAATTGAAGATCATTTATTAAATTCATGATTTCTTATGATTATTGCTCTCCCAACTTGTTTTTTTCTATATTACATTCATGGTCGACTTGATATTGTCTACATAATATTCTATTAAAAACGAATATGTACATAAAAAAATATCTATCCTTATATATTTTTATCAATACTTTAGGTAATTATGTAGATATACATATAGCTTTGAAATTTTATCCTATTATTTATGATTGTTAATTTTCTTTTGTTTAATAAAGAAATCCCCAAAATTGCTATAATCCTCATCTATTATAAATTGCACTTAAATATTCAGCTGACTCTTATCAAATATGAACATTATATTAAAATATTACATTTAAAAAAAGGAAAGAATAGAAGCGGAAAAGATGTTTAAAACTTTAGAATCTAATAAAATTGTAAAGGAAAATGTTTTTACACCCGGAGAAAAATTACAATTTGGGGAGACGAAACAAGATGTCAAAACTATATCAAATAAGAAAAATATAAATGCTATAAGAGTAATATATTTTATTTTGATTAATCTTTAAATAATAATACAGGAAGCAATCGCCAAGGCCTCAAGCTTAGATGAAATTGAACAATTACAGATTCTCTTGAATGAAGGAAAACTATAAATTTTGAATATTTGACGAATACATTATATTTATTTGTGATATAAATATAGTTTTAGTCTATTTGCTTTGTGTGATTTTCTGGGAAAACGCCCTTCTCTTTAGTTTCAACTTTTATTCCAAACTTCCACCCAGAATCCTTAAAAACATATAAAATATATTATATAAAATTTATTGTTACTAATTCTTGTTGTGAATCTATGACATATATATAATCTCCAGGTTCGAACGATAATTCGTCATTGTCTTCCTTTGTATATTTATATAGAGCTTTTACCTAGATTTAATATATATGTTGAATTCTATATTAAATAGACGAAGATTTTACTTCCCAACTACGTTTTAGAAACGGCTGGGATAAACATAAAATATTTTTTTAAACAGTGAAGGGTTAAACCCCATCAGTTGAAGACCTATACTCCTTTAAAAAAATTTGACTTTTTCCAAAAATTAATTTCAAATATCTAAGAAAAATGATCAAATTTTATTATGATTTCATGCAAAATTGACCAATGTCGAATTACCATTTTTTAAAATGGATATGACTGTTATATAGTAGATATTTTTAAATCAAAATTTTAAAGCTAGCTTATATGCTTAGTTATAAATCTAGTAGAATGTAGGTGCCATGTTTGTTTTAAGAATCTAAAACTGATATTAGCCTAGAAATTTTTAAAAAATATCATTTAAAAATAAAACATCGGATATATTTCTGGTAAAACAAAATATATTTTATACTAGCTCTCATTTAGGATATTGAAATGTCAGCGTTAATTACCACTGCTGTATTGTATGAATAAATAGAATGACGTAAATTGATCAAATCATATGTTTTTCTACTAAGAACAAAAAATTAAAATAAGAATTTAATTTTTTTTAATTATAAATTACTACTTACATTAATGAACTAAGTCTAGTAGAAAACTGAAGCCAAGTTTTTAATATAAAAACTGACCACTCACTTCCTAAATTCAAGTTATGATCCTTAATCTACAACTATTTATGTTAGTTACAAAAAACACTTAAAGTGGGTGCTTAGATTTTTTTCAATAATTTGCCATCCATAATTTTTTTACAAATTTAAAGCACTTTAGTCAACTTATAAATAACCATTTCCAGTTTGCTCATTTTTACCATATTATATATTATGTCATTAAAGCTATGTATTTTTATTGAGTTTTCGCAAGTCACTAATTATTTTTACCAGGCTCGTATAATAAATTTTGTGGCCTTTAATATTTTGTTAAGGAAAAACTTTGGCTCGGCTTTAAAATATTTCAATTTATTAAGCACTTGCCTAAAAAAAAATTTTTCCCATGCTGTTGGCCAATTCGCTCTTGCATTTTAAGTAACCATATCTCAGTAAATATGCCAGTTGTAAAGTAAACATTTAACAATAACTTTTATTTCAATCTGAATTCAATAATATTTAGCAGAATAAAAATGAGAGAAAGAGAAAAGAGTGAAAAACAAAAAAATTGTATTATATATAAGATCAAAAAAAGAATATATATAATTATAAAAATAAATTCTAATCAGTTTGGAATCGAAACATCCATTAACCAGAATCTGGAACCCTCTTAAAGTTTAAAGGAACCAGAGCTATTTTAAAATTTCCAATACACCCAACAAGTGTAAGTAATTTATATATATTGGAATATTTGATACATTTTAAAGTTTAATTAAAATCAGAACCAAAGACCTTCATGGGCCTTAATTTGTCGATCAAACCTGGCGCCCAAAGTAAACAAAAATTAGGCCCCATTTAATAATAAAAAAATTCCCAAGCCAATAAGTTTCAACGTTTATGGGAATGGTAAATTATTATCATCGTTTCATAGAGGATTCTGCAAGGGTATCAGCTCCTTTGTATGAATTATTACTAAAAAATGTACCTTTTGAATGGAAAGATGAGGAAAAAGTTGCATTTGAATTATTGAATTACAAATTAGCAAGGAAATTCTAATATGTTTAAATAGTGATTTTGGCTGTTGATGCATCCAATAAAGGAGTGGGTGGAGCTTTGTTGCACAAGATAGAAGGAATGGAGAGACCAGTGATTTTCTTTTCGAAAATATTCAGAGGTGTAGAAAGAAGGTATTCAGTAATTGAACAAGAAGTTTTAGCAGTCATTTTTGGATTGACGAAATGCAGAGAATATCTGATTGGAAGAAAATTTGTTATACAGATCATAAATCTTTGATACATTTGTTCAAAAAGAATAATAAGGAATTGATGATGTCTCCTCGATTGCAACGATGGTTGGTGGTTTTGATTTAAATCATTTACCGGATATTTTGTCAAGGTTAGGAGCTAATAAGGATGAACAGGATATGAAGATATATAAAGCTAAAAATGGGGAAGAAGCTCTCATCAAAACATTAACTCGAGTTTTAAAAGGTAATTCTACTAAATGGGAAGATATTCAAAAATATACTTTAAAAGATAAAGAATTAAATTTGGTAAAATTATGGATTACAGGGAAAAAACAGTAAAATGATCAGGAAAATAAATTTCAAAATTGGAAACAGAACGATAGTTAAATATATCATGAGGGAAAATAGAGCTGTTATTCCTAGGATTTAAGAGAAAAAGTGTTGGATATATTGCATGCGGGACATCTAGGAACAAAATGAAACAATGGGGAAGGGAATATATATGGTGGCCGGGTATGAATGAAGAAAATTAGGGAAAGATTGTGAATTTGTAATGCCTGTGCTAACATGCCCCGTAAAGATAAAAATAGTATTTGGCCGAAAACCAAAGGACCGTGGGAAAGAATTCATTTAGATTTATTAGAATGGGAAGGGAAAAAAATTATTTTGATGGTTGATTCTTTTTCTAAGTTGATAGAGTTTGCTGAAGTACTTGGATTAACCATGGGAATTGTAATGAAATATTGTAAAAATATATTTTCAAGATTTAAAATACCTAAAAGTATTGTATCGGATGGTGATCCAGCATTTATTAGTACTGAATTTAAAATTTTTTGTGAAATTAAATATAATTTGAAAATCTCATTTTAGCGAAAATGTTTTCCAGCATGTCTAGACTACATATCCTATGAAATTTAAGCAATTTCCGCCATAAACTTTTGTGTATTTTTCCATTTATATGAAAAATCTATATAAATGAATGTATTTCAACAGTTTCGGACAAAATTGTTTTAAATTAGTGGGTACTTCTCTGTGCATGTTGGAAATTATTTCCGGTCAAATAGGATTTTTCAGATTTAAAAACCGCTTTCAGAAAATGATATTAGATTCAGAGGTCCCAATGAATTCAATATCCCAATACGACATAAAAAAAATTGAGTTAAAAGTTTAATTTATTTTTAAAAAAATATTATAAAATAACATAATAAAAAGATATTAAAAATAACATAATATGAAAAGATATTAAAATAGAATATTTGGTAGAACCGGATCATGGAAATTTTAAAATGAGTTCAGGACCTTAAAATTATTAAAATAGGTACGGTTTCCTATAAATTTTAAGAGGCTTCCAAGTTCTGACTCCTAGATTTACTCCAGTTCAGAGGATTTTCCATAACCTGCTTAGAATTAATCCATGAATTTAATAATTAAAAGTATATTACATTTATAATCTATATAATACAATTTCCCTTTGTCCCTCTCTTCTCATCATTCTTCTGTAATAAAAAAAAAGATTTTCATTATTATATTACTAAATATATTCCTTTAAATTTTTTTCAAAAAAATTATCGGGCTAGGGCCGGACAACAGACCTTGTAAAAATTAAGGCCCAGCGAAAATCCCGATAAAAATTTATAGCTCTAAAATAGCTATAAAATCGCATATAGCAAAAACCAGAAATGGCCAACAAAATAAAAATGTCATTATTCTTATAAAAGGATACTAGAATGTATTTTTTTGTAAAAATCATGATTCATAAGAAAAGTTAACTAATTAAGTCAGCATCCCTTTGCTTGCAGTATTTTTATATAGTAAAGAAAATTAAAAAAATTTGTAGAATGATTGGTCAAAAGAATTCGAAATCAATTTTATATATATTTCGATTTCAATGCAAAATTAAACAATTGTAATTCTCCTGCTTGAAATAGTCGACTAAAGATTTAGAGTGACCTCGACTATACAATAACACCACATAACTTAGAAGTATATTGCCAAAAGAGACACCTTCCAGCAAAATATAAGTTCTTTAAGTAATTTAGAAAAAATGAAAGGACTAATTACAACATTTTTTGATTAATTTGAATATTCGTTAAATCAAGATTGCGCTGGACTTGAATTTTGAATTGAAGGACCAAACTCTGGGTCTCAGTAAACTCTATTCTGAAAGTTGGATTTAGGTAAAGTTTACAACCTATTTAATAAATCTATAGTTTCATTCATCTTTAAGAATGGTTGCCAAATTGGTTGATTTAATACGTATTATTAGAGGTATACCGATACCACTTTTTAGATACAGATCTGATATTATATATCGGCTAATTACCAATCCGATATTTCTAAATTTTATTCGTTGTTACAATTGTTTTAAATAATAAACATTCTTATAAAAATAAATGATGTATTTTATTTTTTTAAGCATATTTTTAATTATTTAGTTCGTTTTTTATATTTATCACTTTAATTATATAATAATGTTCTTAATAATAAAAAAAATTCTTAAATATTAAAAAATTATGAACCAATGCTATAAAATTTTAAATTAAGACGCCATTTTATCGGATCGGAAAATTTAATAGATATTTTAAAAAGATATTAAAAATATTTGTGCATCCCTAGATATTATTATTAATAAATTAGAGATGTTTTTTAAAATTTTAATATAGTCATTCCCTTTCTCGCTGTTGGGTTATTTAAGTTTGCAGAAATTATTAAACAAAAATCTTTTTGATACCTAAGTATATTCACACAACTTTTAGATAATTGTTTTTACAATTAAGATACTTCCAGTCCAGACAAACAAAATTTTAAGTAAGCCATTTTTTTTTGAAAGAAATATTGTTGATTGTATATTAACTTTGTTAGTCATTTGCACTTTCCGAGAAGGGTGGATATTTTTTAAGAATAGGAGGTTGAAATAATAGAACCATATAATATAAAAGAAATAAAAATTTATAAATTAAAATTTTGTTAAGTTATTGTGTATGTTTGTTCAGAATTTTTTTTATATAAGAATCGGTGGAATCGGCCTGATATGTGATAGTACAGTATCAGCAAAAAAAATGGCACACCGGTACATCTCTGATATCAATAAAACAAAGTAATGCAAAATTAAACATATAGATAATAATATATTTAAGGAAAAAATAATGATAAATAACAACTTTGTATTGAATATTTAAATCCTGCTTTTCCTCGTCATTTTCTTTAATATTGCCTTGATCCTTTTGAATTAGAATAAAAATAATTTTATTAAATATAATTTGTTTTTACTCAAATTTTATGGCCTGGAATAGTTTGAGTAAATAATTTTCTTTGAAATATTAAGTTACTAAGGGTATAGGTATAGTAATTTGACAACCCTCTAAAAATATTTGGAAACATTTATCAAATAAAAAACACGATTCATTTATACACAAATTTGAAACCTTTATTAACTGTGTGCTTATTTAGTTTTAATAAGATTTCTTAATATAATAAAAACTTTCATGATATGCCTACATGTTTAGCCATAATTCTTTAAGAATGGCAAGTCAAACCACTATATCTCATTTTAAAATTAAATAAACCAGAAGGTTAAATTTTACCATAATATAGTTTTTATTAGTTTACATCTATAGAAAAATTTTATAATTTTGATGAAATTTAAAAAGATTTTTACACGACAGAATTTTAATTTTTATTAAAATATATAATCATTTATATGTAAATTAAAGTTTATAGCAAAGTTTAAACACTCTTCTATAATTTTGGAAAGTTCTATGAGTATTTATTATGTCTAGATATTATTTCAATCATGATTAGTAAATTTAGAGCTAGGGGACTTGCTAAACCATACATGTCAATCCATTTGAATGATATTTTTTAGCATTATTCGATATGGTGAAAAAACACAAATCGAAGAAAATTAATAAGGGTCAATCATTTAATATTAATAATTATTTAGAAATATATTAATTTAATATATTAATATTATAATGTATTAGGCTATTAAGGTATATAAAAATTGTAAATCAACAAGGATCACTAACCAACTAACAAATGGAAAATAATTCACTTGAAAAAATCCCCAATAATAATTCTTAGAAAATAATTCTCCGGAATTAATTTTCTCAAAAGTTTTAAATATATTATTTGAGGATTTTTATTTCATGGATATATTTATAGGATTTTTTTCCGGGGAATTATTTTCCTAGATTCTACAGGTATTATCTACATTATCTGCCTTATTTTTAAGATATAAATCACAATAATTTTATGTAAAAACAATATAATTAATTTTTAGCAATATTTAATAATAGAGATTATGTAAATATTTTTATTTAATGTAATTTGCAAAATGTTCATATATGTAAAATTGATTAAAATTATGATGAAGTATAATATTATTGCCTTAATTTTATGTAATTAACAATAAAATCAAATTTTAGCAATATTTAATAATAGAGATTATGTAAATAAAAATCGGTCATGGTAATGTAATTATATATTTTAAAGTTATAGAAATAATCTAATATTTTATTTGACATTTTTATTTTAGGTATTCCTAGATCAAACTCTATGAGATATTACAATATAGATCAAGAAATTGGCACATTTGTAGTGTAGGGCAAAATAATAAACAGAGGATATTCACAGAGGAAGAGGTGGGAAATATATAAATATCTGATTCGAGCCAGCCACATTTTTTATGGCCTTTCAATTAAAAAGGTATAAATTTATTCTTCATTATTTTATACATTGCTTTTTAGATAAAAATATTGGCCTACCAAATGGCAGTAATTAAAAAAATTTCCTAAATCTTTGAAAGACAATTCAATGGCGAAGAAAATGTTTTATACTTTTTAATTTATATAAAGGCTTATTAAATGATTGTTAAGTAAATGTTTTACATTAAATATTTAAGAATATTAGATGAACATAAATTAGAATGTACAGCAATTAACAACATGATGAAACTGGACTTACAACAGTTCAAACCCCATCCAAGATAATTGCATAAATGGGTCAAAAACAGGTAGGATCCAGACTTCCGCAGAAAGGGGTACCTTAAATACATTAGTCTAACTGTAAATGCAATTGCCTATACAATTCCTCCAATGTTTCTTTTTCACAAAAAAAAATAATGACTATTTTGGAGATGGCCTACCTGACTCTATAGGGGTATCAAATGGTTCAGGATGTAGCAAGAGGAGGATTTTATTATTTTTTTAAAACATTTTTCTAGACATACTCGGTGTACTCTAGTGTCCAAAGTTTTATTAAGCTTTGACAATCATATATCACACCACTCCTATCAAACTGTCAAATTTTGTATAGATACGGGGATAAGTCTATTATATTTGCCACTCCACTGCAAAATTACAGCCTCTTGATCGGTCTGTTTATGGGCCTCTCAAAAAATATTACAGTAATGCACTTGATTCCTGATGCGTTATCCAGGAAAATTATTTGCAATTTATGATATTCCATCTGTTATTAAGGATGTCTTGCCTTTAGCAGCATCACCTCTCAATATAGCAAATGGTTTTAAAGCATGTGGAATATATCCAATGAATCAAGATATATTCAGGAAAGAAGATTATATCTCTATGGGGATTCTATATGTGAACTTCCTAAAATCTCAATATTAGAATCAAGCTATGTTTCTTTAGTATTAAAAAATATTTTAAATATTAATAGAACCTTAGACCCTCCCCCCATACCTTTAGCCTCATCGTGGTGGGAGAGTGGTAACATCTTTTGGCGGCTAATGGAGATATAAAAGGTTACCTGTGGTCTGGGTATACAATAGGATCACCGTCTCCTCGGCAGGGTGTAAAAACCAATAGGGGTTGATGTCAGGAAGGGTATTCGATTGTAAAAACCCTACTACAAAATTTCCTAATGATTAAAAATTAGAGGGAAAACTGGCCAACGGTAAACCTGGAAATCGTCATTAAACGGAGAAAGAGAATAGAACTTAGATATATGTAATGATGCTCCATCATCCACTTATGTTCATTTAGATGATATTCTAGTCCATCCAGCAATTTATCAATATCCTCGAATCATCCCAAAAAAAAGAGTGAAGAGAGTGAAAATAAGGGCCGAGATTCACATCCACTCCCTATAAAAAAAATTGATGGAAAAAAGAAAATATTTGCTAGAAAAAAATGTAAAAAAAATTATTTACAAAGATATTTGTATTTATTGAGCTGGAATATATAAAATATCATAATGGCGAAGGCTAGTACCAATGCAGAAGCCAAGGATGGGCACATGGTACATGTTCAAACTTCGATAAATTTCTTATATGCCCAAAATGTTTAATAAATTAACCAAAATTATGTTTCAATTTTTTATAATTAACTTCAATTAATAAGTTTTATGATATTTTGAACATTAAAATTATTCTATACGTACATTATTAATAAATAAAAATACATTTCATTTGGCCTAAAAAACCAATGGTTTCAAAAGCCCCTGAAGTGGTTTATCTCACCCTGCTATTGGAGCTTGTTTTTCCACTTTTATAAAAAATAATATTTCAAAAAAATGATTATATTCTTAAAATTTTTTAAGACACCTTTATAGTGTAGTTTTAGATAAAAAGCCAAGAGCTATAGTCAATATTGTAAAAATCGGTTGGACTAACCCACTCTCCCCTATTAGGTTTATTAATTTGAGATAATGATTTTGTTAAACCTATGCAATATTCAAATCTATCTTGGCAGAATAGGTCTACCATTTCCTTGTTTTGGGAATATTTATGAAGTATTTCGAAGTCGCTTTAAAGCTCATTGAACTGCACTATTTTAGAAGTGATGGAGTTATGTTTTATTATATAAAGCAAAACTCAAACACTCAATTTGGATGCAATATAAGATTATCTTTTGATAATATATTTAATTTAAAAAATTATCGTCTGATTTTATTGGGTGTTAATAAATGACGTTTTATAACTATATTTGTTTGGCAGCCTAAATATTTTTCTATGATGAAGATTTGAAAAAAAGCGAGGGTAGTTCAACATAATATGAACTCGTCTAACCCCCTTTTGAAAATAAATTTGAGGATCCTGAATTATTTTTTTATCAAATTTTAACATTTTCGATCCAATTTTCTGAAAAAAGACTCCATCAAATTCTAAAAAAAAATTAAGGATATTCTAGATTTATCCCGGTTCCGAGTTCTGGTCTCAAACTTTGATTAAAATACCCTTAAAATTTGGAAAACAAAATCCAAAATTTAGCCCTTTAACAAAAATGAGAATTTATAAATAATTTATGAAAGACAAAAGAATCATTAATGATAAAGTTGAAATAACTAACTTCTGGTTCTTCGTCAAAAGGATTTTTACTGGAAGATCGAATATTTGTGTGAATGTCAATTTTATTATCTGTATAAAAATGAATGATTTTAAAAAAATATATAATACTTGTAATAATTTTAGTTAGTGAACTATTATCATCAACATTTTCTTCATTATCAATAACTTTGCCAGAAGATTCATGACTAAATTTTCATTGATTTTAATGCTAAAATTATAAATTACTTTTCAAAACATTGCCACTTTTCATTTTTTCCTAAGCCTTCCGCTAATATATCCATTAATTCACTGAGTTCATTATTCACCTTAATATAGATTTTTTTCAAATAATATAATGTAAATTAGTGTATAAGACCTGGGCCGTTAAGATTTTACAAAAAGTTTGTCTTAGCTCTTAAATTTGTTTGTACACATTTTCTGGCCATCACATTTTTAATGTCTAAATCTAATTTTTTCCCCAATGTCAATTTATGCTCTTATATTTCTACTCTATAGCTATCGATTTCTATAGAAACCGTTTTATAAACCAATTGTGTTTTAATATCTGTGTGTATATGTAATTGGATCTATATCATAAATAAATAGAGTAATTTTTGGTGCACTAATGATGTGAAGTTCTTAATGAAGATTTGTATTGGCATTTTATTGCATGATAAGCATTTAAAATGTAATTTAATGATTCATTAAAGAAGTATGAATTTCCGCCATACATCACTTATTATTTTCTTTAATTTTATAAATACCATTCTGAAGTTTGTTACATTTACATAATAATATATTATTATTTTAACCTTATTACTTTTTAAAATAATCTTATATAATTAATTTTTGATTGAAAATTGTAATCTTTTTTCATTATAATAGTTTATATTTATACCTTCTGTTTCTCTAATTATATTTTAACATTAATAAAATAACCATAAATATACAAACATTAAAAATTATTTTTTTCTTAATTCCTAAAAATAGATTTGGAAATATGGCGACAGCCAAAGTTAAAATCAATAATACTTTTATTTTATTTATGATAATTTAATTAGGCAGTTTTTATAACAAAAAGATATTAACTCTTTGTTTTAAATTATTGTTATTTCAAAGAATATTAAATAAATTTAAAATTAGAGATTTACAAGACCCATCCCGATTTTTTAGGTAAGGATTGTTAGGCCTGGGCCTTAATTTATTATGTAGAATTTGTCCGACTCGGCCTTTTTAATTTTTTGCATGGTCTGGCTTGTAGTATTTTTTTAAAAAATTTGTCTAGCATGATCCACGAGATTTTGGATTGGCCGAGCTTTGCAGATGTATAAATATATAAATACCTTTGCCATTTCATTGTGAAATTGTAGCTCGGCAGCAAAGAGCGATTGAAAATGGGATACTAAAAATGATATCCGTCTTAAACACATTTTTTTATATAATAAAATAAGGTTATTATTATAAGTATGATAAATGTGATGCTCACAAGACTATATAACAAACCACTTATCAAGATTTAGATAGAAAATTTGCTTATAACAGTTTAAATTTTAGTTTATCCATAAATATATTTTTGGTTTAGATTCAATTAGAGATTGACTAAAAAGAATAACACATGAACTGATGATTCAATATTGTTAACTTGTATAACTTCTTATATTAAAACGTATTAAATTAACTCGTATATTTTTAGCATTTTTACTGATGTCTAAGCCAAGCCAAAAATGGTAATTTATATATAAAATAAAATTGATAATATTTGAGAATGACAATAAAGAACCAGAACCTGACACCCACTATAAAAATTTATAAATAGAACCTATTTTAATTTCCCAGAACCAGTTTAAACAAAAGTGCAAACGATTTTTAAAGGGACAATTTATTCTTTAATTTTTTTGAGTGCTTTTACAGTTCAGGAACAGACCAAATCATGAAACCAGATTAAATTTTGGAAACCTGAACTTATTTATCAAAATTTTAAGAATCAGAACAGGATTACTTTTTAAAATATTCAGAGCATATTTTTAGGTTGCAACTGTTAGTTTTAAAAATTTAGGAAAATATCTGTCCTGGTGTATAGGTCCATGGTGCTGGACTCTAATTTAAGGTATGTTATTTTTTATTTATAAAAATGAGATATTAAATTTTGCTCCTCTTGATAGAAAAAAAATAACAAATAGTTTCTTTTATCATATTTAATATTTCTTGCCTAACAGCTAAAAACAACATCCAATTTATAAATGTATGGGAAAGGGAAAAAACACTATATATAAGAAATAGTTTTAAATTTTACGTTTGATATAAGGTAGGTAACGATTCGTGAAGTTCATTGTTTAAATCTTGATAAACCTTTTTAGCATCTGTTAGTTGGTCTAGAGCCTTATAAAAGTTAAATAAAAATATACTATATTCATTTAATATACTGTTATTTGGCACTTACATGAGAGATAATTTAAAAAACATTGTGCCATCAATAAGTATAAAAAAATTGTTATAAAATAATGAATAGAGGATATAAATTCAGAATTATTTTATTGAGAATTTAACATTTTTTAATACAGTTTCCATTTCATATAATATTCTCAAACAAATTTGAGTTATTACAGTCTTTCCATGTCAAACAAGTAACTGAAATTCTCCCTTTCCATTTTATAGATAAAATATGGGATGTGGTAGAAAAAAAAACGAAATTTTAATTCTGTAGATTATATACTTTAAGATAATAAGGGTCAAAGGTGACAAAATTAGCTATTTTTACCTTTTCTAATATTAAATAAGCATTATTAATTCTTCTAAATATTAAATTTGATATAAAACTAAGTCAATAAAATATTTTTTCAATCCAGATCAGACAGAGGACCCAACCAATTTTCAAAAGAGTATTTGCAAATATGTATTCGATCTGGTCATCGATCTTTATCAGGCTTAGAACAGAAGCTATATTTTTAAAAACAAAGAAATTTCAAGATTTTAAATTTAAATATAGATGCAAAGAATTCCAAATTATAAAATTATAATGCTGATTTTATTAAATATTGTTATGTCAAAATGCCTCATAGTTAATTCAATATTACTTTAAAAAATAAACTACAAAAAGTGAGAAAGGGTGAGAATCTAATAATAAAAAAATTTCAAAACTTCTCAATAATAAATTATATATTCTAAGCCATAAAATAATTTAAATTTTTTTGAGCATGTTCAATAACAAATATTATTCTTTTTAAATTATGGATTGACTTAGATTGCTAAAGGTAATTTAAAATATGAGGCAGGACTAAAAATTTGATAAGCTATATGGGAAAGTCAAAAAAATAAAATACTGGCTAGGTTAAAAAATAGGATATCTTTCAATCCAGGTTGGACCTAAAAATTAAAACTCAACAAGTCTCTTCAATGTATTAATAAGTAAAATTGAGATTTTTAAAATTATGATAAATGTTAATGAACTTTGTTAATCTTTTGATCATCCTTTTTTTTGTTTGCAGAATTTATTAATGTATCGTAACTATGTCTAGCAGAATCAAAATATAATAATTTACGACTTCGTTTATTAATTTTGTCCTAAATGATTAAGCATTATTTTGCCAAACAAATAATTGTTACTTTAATTTCAATAAATTGATTATTATAAGAATTTAATGGTATTAAAACTTGATTTTCTAATTTTTGAATATAATCTTGCCAAATAAAATCAAATGAATCTAATAAATGGCAAAATAAATCTTTATTTTGCCATTCTATTTCATAAGTTTCTTTGATTGCTTCATATAAACTTTTTTCACATATAGATTTTTCTAAACTTAAGCTATAAAAATGAAGAGTAAAATATTACCTTTAATTGAATTTATATATGCCTTTAAATCTTTGTACAATTTGCTGGATATTAACTAATTATAAACATTAAATAGAGCATATCAGATTATAATGAAAACAAAACTTGCTGTTTATTAAAATTTGAAATATAATCATCGAATAAGTCGTCTTTTGTTTTATCAACTTTGCCTAAATTTACAAGTATCTATAAAAATTTGTAGGTAAATTATATTATGTTAAAACCTTCTCCTTAGCCCTTACTGCACCTTTTTGAACAACAGAGGCAAAATTTGATTTTTTTTCATTTGACATTTACAAAAATTTTTTTTTTTTTTTTTTTTTTTTTTACATTTTATTATTTATTAAATTCGTGATGTATAAAACATGATAAAATAAAATAAAAATATTATATAAAAACCGTGGTGGGACTACAAGTTGTGTTTAATATAAAAATGGATGACAGGCAGGTCATTTAAAAAGCTAACAATGAGATTCGTAAGGATTGCCAAACATTTTCACTCTATTCTTTTATAATAATTTATAAGAGGCCTCGCCCCAATACAGCCACACGCTTAAAAAACATAAAATATTTCTTAACATGTTAAATACATATAAATAATTTATAAATTTATGAATAAGTTTTAATATTTAATAATAGTTTCAATATTTTATAACGATATCGAATATAATATATGATAAATCAGAATAAAATAAAAAATCAAATTATTCAAGTAATTTTGAATAATTCGATAGAATAATGCATGTACCGGTGAATAGTACATTTATCTTATTTATATTTGTAAAATACGAATTGAACCGAATAAAATCGGAATAAAGAATGATTCGTTTTAGTTATAGTGTATATTATAGGCATCTTCAGATTGCATTTTAACAAACCTCCGTAGTTTTACTCAACATTCATGATTTAATATAATAAAAAATTTATCTGATATTCGTGAAATAGCACAAAGATTTTTTGGGTTTTTTCGATATGGTGATGGAAGATTATTTTCAAAGTTTGATATAAAGATCTAGTATTCTTGTTAAGTGATTGTACTGTATTCGCGATGGTATTTTATTTTATCATATGTTAATTTCTAGGCTCTCCAACGAGATTACATTAATTGAGTAATGTGGAAAGTGATAATCGATTTAGATGAAATGGAAACTACTATATATTCTTAATTCATTTTATATTATTGATGTGATTATTCTATAGATTCAAAATAGATAAGATTACTAAATTTATATATCCTTTTATAATTATAATGTTACTACTACCTTCTTCCAATTTTTTTATTAACTATTAAAAAATAGATATTTTTCTATTAATCCTTAAATTAAAAATATTATCTTAAGTATTCTTAAATTTTCCTCATATTAAACTAACTACAAATTAATATTCTATCAATTTTCTTTTATTAAAATTAATATTTATAACCACTTGCTTTTATTAATTCTTAAATTTATTTATAACCACTATTTCTTACTTTATATTTTTTATTCAATTAACCTTGCTTATTTCTAATAATAATTTTTATTTTATTTTTTTAATTTAAACTTAATAATTATTTTTTACCACCATACTTTTTTCTTACAAATTATTCTAATTTCTATAAAATATTCTATTTTAGAACACTACTCTATTTACTTTTACCCTTTTTTATTTATTCTTATTTTTAATTTCTCTATACAATTATATATTTATTTAAATCAAAGGCTGCTTACACTAAAGAATTTAAATTTAAAATTAGCCACCACCCACCCTTAAAGTAATTAAATTATATTGTAGTTCACGGGTATGGGCTTTTATTTTGCCCAACTCCTCAGTTATAAGCCTATTCTCGTTTAAAAACTACAATTCTCGGACTGTTGTTTGTACAAGTAAGTAAGCTTGCCATAAACGTGTGAAGGGCTTCTCATTTTCTTTCCCTAAATTAAATATCCAGTTTGATGGATTTGAGGAAATAGATTAATATTTATTTCCAGGAAAAAGTTATTCTAATTTTCCTAAAGTTGCTAAAAAAATTTATATTTATGGGATCTTTCTTTAATTTTAGTATTATCACTAAAAAAAAATTAAAATACAAAGTTTCATCCATCAAAAATTTTGTAGAAACAACTAATTTAAAATATCTTAAATAAAATATTAATTTTTTTAAAAAAATAATACATTTAAAAAAAAATGACTTTTTACGACTTTTAATTATATTTATTTAAAAAAAGACGAAATTGTTGGTACTTAAAACAAACCAAATTAGGGTGTCCTCGTTCAAATTTTTAGCCTCTACTAAAATTAAGTACGCAAATTATGCCGACCTAGGACACAGCCTAAATGCTTAAAAATTTATATATTTCTACAAAGTTCTTTTTCGAGACACAATATTAATACATATAACAATTTATCATTAATTTATATTTAATTTGTCTATTAAAAAGTGCCAATATTTTATAGTTACTAGTCTTAATAAATTTCTAAAACTTAAGATATTCTTAAATAACTCCTAGAATAATTCTAAACTAAAATCTAATTATCCTCCCCCCACACCAAAGCGAATGAACTGAATGATAATAATATATTGTAAAATAATCTATAATAAGATTAGGAAAATCATTTCATTTAAACAAACATTATAATTTGATTTGAAAAAAATATAATAATATTGTATTTTTTTAAATTAGTGCTAATTTTTTAAAAATTGAATACTAGTATTAAATGCCAAACCATTTCCCACAATTGTTGCATATTCTAAGGGGTGCATAGGTACTGAAAGCAGATAGTTAACGCTAATGACACATCTGCCGCCCCATAATAAAAAAATGCAAATTTTTAAAATATTTTTTAGAAAAATAAAAGGTTTTTATAAATTTCAAAAAATCCCTACTACAGAAAGGTGATTTATTGGAGAAATGTCAAAATGGCCTGAACAAAATATTATACTTGAATCAGATATATTATTAAATTCAATACGAAAGCCGTTTTTTTTATTGGAATGTATAAATAAATTATTTAGTAACACATGCTATATTTAGAGATCATGAATGATGGATATTATTGTAGTACAACTAAGAAAGCAAGAGAGAACTTGATCAAAAATTTTGCCAGATATATACGATTATCGAGGCGAAATCAAAATATATGATCAAATTGCACCTATTAATCATAAAAGTAATTCAATAAAATTTTATAGATTGAGAGAGGAATAAATTGCCAATGTTATCTGAAAATATCAATAAGTTCTATCAACAGGGTCCAAAGTTATGGAGATTCAAAGTTATACAACCAAAATTCTTTTCTACTTGTAAAAATTTTTTAATTTTATTATACATTCATTTAAGAAGACATTAATAAAAAAGAAAAAGAAATGCTTTTTCAGTATGACAAGACATCACTGAGCCAATATTTTTTTGAAAGAATTTCCTAACAATTGGTCTATCGCAGCCTTGAGTAATCGATTGGTTGCAAAATTTGATGCTACCGGATCAGCAGAAAAGCGGTATGGTGGTGACAGATCATGCACAGATAGTAGGGGAGACTGGGGTTAGGTAAACTCAGGAGCTTGGCAAACGACTTAATCTTATTTTAAAATTAAATACACCAGAAGGTTAAAATTTTATCCTAATATAGTTTTCATTAGTATACATCTATGGACAAAATATTTTTTGAAATAATTAATTACTAAAAATTTTATTTATGAAATAAAATTTTGATAAAATTTTCAAAAAATTTTTACATGACATTTTATTTTTATTAAAATATATAATCATTTATATGCAAATTAAATTTTATTACAAAGTTTAAACATTCTTTTATAATTTGGGTGAGTTTTATGAGTATTTATCAAATCTAGATATTATTTCAATCATGATTTGTTAATTTAGAACTAGCGGGGTTTGTTAAACCATACAATGGCAATTAATAATGAAAAAAATTTCAAAATCTTGAAAAGGCAATTTCATGGTTGTTTATGATTGGTATTTAGGATTTATGCTAAGAAATCTTGATCTCTCCTTAAAATTCATATTTTTTTATATCCAAAATGTTTATTAAATTAGCCAAAATTAAGTTTCAATTTTTATTTATAATTAGCTTCAATTTATAAGTAATATGATATTTTGAACAATAAAATAATAAAATTATTCTAAACATATCATTATTAATAAATATAAATGCATTTCAATTTATTATGGCCTAAAAAAACTAATGGTTTAGGAAGCCCCTTGAAGTGGTTTGCCTCACCCTGCTATTGGGGCTTGTTGAACAAAATTTTCACTTTTACAAAAAATAAAATTTAAAAAAATGATTATATTCTTAAGATTTTTTATAAGGCACCTTTATAGAGTATAGTTTTAGATATCCAAATTATCTATAAAATAACAAGAGCTATAGCCAATTTTGTAAAAATTGGTTTGACTAACCCCAGCTTCCCCTATTGCAAAATGTTGATTATTTTGAAACATTGGTATTTAACCATGAAGACTGACCTGGCACCCACAGAACTTTTCGTGAAATATCCAGATAAAAAAACTTCAATGCATAGGATTAAAAAAGCTGCAACTGAAATGTCCAAAAAAAGAAACAAGCCACGACTTACCCGATACGAATAAGATTTTGCTCATATATGGTACTTATCAAACAACCTGTAAGAAATACCCTCAGAGATTAGTTTTATTATAGTTTACGGATGAAAATCTCTTTAAAGTAACTCCACCGGTAAATCTGCAAAATGATGTTCAGTTTCAATAAGAAAAGAACAAGTTGCAGCCAATTGATATTTGACTCAAATTAATTTTAATGATGTATTCATGTTTTTGACGAATTGTAAAGTTTAAAAAAAATAAAAGATAAATTTTTACGTTGAAAAGTTCAAATTGTGTTTGCCTAACTTTGAATTTGCATAACTTTAGACCCTTAATAAAATAAAACATTGATAATTTATCTTTCTCCAATTTCCAAAATTTTGAATTATTTTTAAAAATGACCGATTTATTGCCAAAGCAAAAAAAGTAACGGTTCAATTGGAACTCAATGTATATTCTATTTTTATGCAATTATTCTAACCTAAATTAATTTCTTTACCTTAACCTTGACTTTTGATTAATCCAAGAAAATAAAAATGTGAAGAAAATACAAGTCAATTGTGAATACCTTTACAAACTACATATGTTAATATTACAGTGCTTACAAACTGTGCGTTTTGTCATTTTTAATCAAAAAACGTAACGCAAAGCTATAAAACATTTGTCCACGAGACCGCAGCATTGCCAGTCCGCCCCTGTATTAACACTATTAAATAAAATAACAAATATAAAAATCTGCCAAAAATGGCACAATATGCAGATTTTTTTTAAATAAAATGGAAAGAAAGGGTACAAAATTATTTACAAGATTTCTTTTTG